TCTTCCTCCAGCTCAGGTACAGCCTCTAAGGTTGTAATTTCATGCTACAAAATGATCAGGAGCAATATCAGCTTACAGAACACCGGACTGCTTGCTCCTCCCACTGCATTCCTCCTCCCTCCCAGGTTGTGTTAGCCTAACTGTTTTGGGGGTATTATTGATATCTCTAGACTAGGACACTGGTCTGTCCTGAAGAAAATCCTGTAAAAATAAATATAGCCTTTTTTTTTTTAAAGCTAGATAAATGTCTTGATCTTGTTTGCAGCATGGCTACGTAAACACTGGTTTCAGAATGACTGAAGACGTAGATGGTGTATGGTTGTGCAGGGGAAAGAGCAAGATGCCAGTATTATCTTTAAACCTGTACGACATGAAAAGCAACATAAGGCACGAGACACACTTGATGTGCTCCGTGTTTGAAGCCTGGGCTTACAGAGACTTGATATAAGCTAATTCTCTCTGAACATATTTTTGTCACCAAAGTGCAAGCAGGTTTGCTTCGGCACCAGAAGCCTTCTGCTACTGAAGAGCTATGTTACTCTATAGAGCAAATACTACTGGTCTGCAGCCTAGGAATCAGGTTAGGATCCCAATGTGGTCAAAAGACTGGGCTCAGCCTGCTCTGATTCCTTACAAAAAAGGAACAAAAGATATGAAATCATCCAATGAAGGGGTAAAAGAACAATGAAATTTTTTTTTGTTTCTTTTTTAAAGAACCCTCTTATTACTTCTGTATTGACACATTTTTCATCAAACATCACAAAAAATCAAATAATATCTCAAGCTTATATTCTCTGGTCAAGCTTTTGCCATTTCATTTAGATTTTTACTAAACAGAAGTTCCTATTAAAACTGAAAGAGAGAACACAGTCCCTATTACCTAGCTGCTGGATCACATTTCTACCAACACATCCTGACATACCTAAGTGAAAAAAGGGGAAAATATGATTCTGTATTGTCTGTTTGCCTGAGAGCTTTGGAATTTGACTGCAGGGCATTTGCCTAGCTTATCCCCACAAGACATCTGCTCAGTACTTCAGCCTTGAAAGAAGAAAGAAATTTTGGGCCTGGACCTATAAAGCGTTAGCTTAATGGGAGCAGCGTGTAGAATCACCTATCTATCTGAATAATTATCAGTGATGTAAGATCTAGGATTTTGTAGGATGTAAGGTAGTAACAGATCTGAAAAAAATCAATATAATCACATTTTTTCCTCATTTTGGACTCAATTAGTGGGCTATGCACAATACAGGGAGACTAGACCAAAGACCTCTAAAAGTGTTAGGATTACCTTCCTAAATCCTGGTGATAGATTGGGCCACAATTTTCAGTCTCATGGCGTGGGACTTTTAGCATTCCCCTTGTATACCATTGACTATAGTAAAGTTATCCACATTTAAACTATCATTTGTTGTTATCTTAATACACAAAATAAAGTTTGCTATTACTAGCTATAATTTTGAACTGTGTATTCCTCAAGTAATGAGGACAAATTCTAATACCCAGACAAACATAACAACAGGAGTGTTTTCTCCCTGCAAGGCATGCTCAGGAAAGGCTTTCAGTAAAAGAATGTACCAAAAAAAAAAAAACAACAAGAAAAGTATATGCTTAATATTAATTACCTAGGATCTTCTGTTGCTCAGACTTTCTTGTTGAAACTAGTGGTAAATCAGTACTGGACAATACCACTCCATTAACTTCGGTCTGTGAGCTCCTCCTTTCTGTCATTAATTGTCTGCTGAGTACTTCGCAGTTACAGTGGGAAATAACTGGCTTTTTGAGTGTTGTCTTCAAAGGCAGAGGGCGAGAAGATGAAACAGCAGCAAAACTTTCCAATGTAAATAGAGGAGGAGTGAAATGGGCAGGGGCAGTCCTCTGTAATTCTGGGTGCTTCATACGAAAGAATCTATAATTTTTGCGAAATGGGAAGCTATCGGGCCCACTAGGATTTTTAGTAATAATAAAATCTCTCCTAGGAGTAGGCACAGAAAAGATGTTTTGCACATTGCTTTGGACTGGCATTTGGCTGCTTGAGCAGACTGGAATAATTTCATATTGGTCAACTTCGCTTGCAGTAATGCCTGGTAAAGACCAACATGCAGAATCACTGTTCTTATGGCCTAGACATGGCAAATATCTATAACCTTTCTGCTCCACTTTTTGTATTGGGAAAATTTGCACCGGACTGTGGGAAATCTGATCATTG